TGTTCGTTCTAACCACCATGTGAGGAATGAACCCTCGCAGGGCCCATATCAGACATGCACATGTTCTGGGCAGAGGCCCTCAGCAAGCCCAGTGCCTGCCTGAATATTCACTAGAGGCCAAAATTTGACATTTTTCCATAAGTGGGTACTCAGGCTGTTGCAGTACGGCAGTTGGTTGAATGGAAGCGTGAGCCTCGCTAAGCTGCGTCGTACAGTTTGGCCCAGGCCTTGGTAGTTGCGCATGGGAAAATACACACGCAATGCAGGGCAGATACATCACGAAGTGGCTACGCGCCTACACAAAAGAAGCATTGTCGACGTACATACCCCTGGTCCTGTGCAAATGCAGCAAACGGCCCAAGTCTGGAAACTCAGGCCGTGCCCAACTGTAAAGGGCCAGGCCCTCAACTGCAGTACTGGGCCTGGGCGCGGGCACTGGGCCCCGACCGGAAGCTACTGGAAGCTTCCCAGCCAGGCCACACACAGCCAAACAGAGGCTGCGACTTCCATATAGGGAAGGAGGCAGCCAGGGTCTGGCATTCTCGCCCAGGCAATGCGATCACGCTGCTGCGTTGCTGCGCGAGACGCTGCATGCTGCGTTAGTGGCCAGGGCGCATGCGGGGGCTTGAGAGGTGAGCGGAGCGCTGCTGGGCAGCGCAGCACGAGCAGCCATAGCTGGGCTGCAGGGCACTAAGTGGTAAAGAGGACGATCGTTGGTCTTCAGGAAGGAGGCAAGTGTGGGTGGTCAGGGTCTGATGAGAAGGGGAGATGAGATACGTACCTTGTGCATGAGGGAGGTCGGCTATGGTGTTGACGTCATGTACATTGGTCTTTAGAGTTAAAGTGAGCCTGTTGCGTGAATGCTGATGTAGGGAGGATAGGCAAGTACTGTAGGCTGGGCGCTGGGCGCCAGACAGAGAGGAGCGACATTGGACACAGTGTTGGTGTGACCTGAGGGCTTGAACATTGGCTCATGACTTCGTTGTATTGCTCTTATTTGGATGGATTCTCGGTGCATTTGTGCTCTCTGCTTGTACACCACTACTTGGACATCTGTGTGATTTCGCAATTTGGCTCTCTGTATATCGTTCCCACTCATATTTCTTGCAACCACTACTCCCGGCATGTTTCTCCTGAGGCTCAGTGCACCCAAAAAAAAAGAATGGCCACGGGTGCATTTTCCGTCTTTTCTTGGCTGGCGCTTCCAGCTATTTTAGACAAATACGGTTTTGCACATTTCAAGAGAAACAATTTGCCTGGCGCCTGGTCAATGTTGTGGTGGTTTAAGATTCTGGAAGTTTGACAAACTGAATTCGAATTGAGGCGCGTATGGTCAGTCTGCGCTGTATAAGAACTGTTGAATGCATATATCCTTTGGTTTAGAGTCGTTAGACTTAGCTGTTTTGGATTTGTTATTGGTTGCAGAGTTGTGACCCGGATTTCTGCTAGGCCGGTGTGCCTGGCTTTTCTCATGTAACTGAATTCGAATTCGAATTTAGGTCGCTCCATATCATGTTAGGGACACTGGGCCCGGTTAACCAGCTATATAATAAAACGACGGTTTAATAAAAGGGAAAAAAGAATTCGAATTGAGGGTCTTGATAGGGATCCAGATGGAGAGGTCTAGAAAAGGTCTCACCCAGGTTCATGGTTCCATTTTTGGTTTCTTTTTTTTTGACGTTTTGGTGTTTTCGATTGAATGTGACTTGCAGTGGTGCACAGGGATCTGAAGTCCAACAACATTTTTGTTATCAGACCGCAGCCGCGGACAGCGGATTGGTCGGCCAAGGTTGGCGATTATGGCATCGTGATGGAGGCAGTCGGTGACGAGGAGCCTGTGACGGCCACTATGACCTTCACAGATCAGAATAGCGGCTATGCCGATCCGGAGTGTTTCGGTCGCCCATCATACTCAGCTGTGAATGATGTTCACAATTTTGGAGTGGTGCTTCTAGAGCTCGTAACAGGCAGACGCCCATTCGATGCAAATGCACGGCCGCCACGGCTTGTCGCCTGGGTATGTGTGCCATCTGAGTTTTTATTTTATTTTATTTTACTTATTTATTTATATATATACTTTTTAAAGAAGTAGCAATTTCATTAGAATCATCAACCGGAGGCCGCGAATCCCCTCTCATCTCAACCCGGGAGTCCTGGGGCCATCACCTCTTTTCGCAGAAGCCCTCACCGGACCAATGTGCGCTGGAATCAACCGGCCCAAACAGACGAAGGAGCACATCGCCCGTTGCTGACTAAGTTACATGTGCCATCTGAGTTGTTTTCTTTCTTTCTCTTCTTTGCACAACGGCGTACCCATGTACCCCCTAACCTCGATGTATCCATCTTTTTTTTTTTTTTTTTTACCTTGATATATCCATCGGATCCCATGAGGATTCGAAATCATGACCTGTTTATGACAGTTACATGCACTCGTACTAATTACAATTCCGACTATCGGGGATAATGGGGATAAATACAAATATCGGATTACGGATTCAGTGAAATGTTTAACATCTTCAGTGATTCTTTTTATTTTAGGTATTTGGGGAATCTTTTGTACTATTCAGGCGCATGGACTGGGCATGAACATCATCTGTTAAATATGCCCACAGTCAGTGGTATTGCATCACAGGCTTGGATAACTTTTCCGGGGAACAGAAATTTGGCGGGTGAATCTGGCCATGTTCTAGCGGGAAGTTCATTCTCATTTTGCACATTTCGAGAGTGGTGTGGCGATGCCCTGTATCTGTGTTGCCCATGGAATAGGCATAGAAATTCAATGTTCCTGGAATCCACACAGGACGTACAGTATCCGCATGGTGTCTGCATTTCCATGTTGTTAAACCACCTCCACCTCCGAGCCTCTTTTTGACGAAGTGAATACCCCCTGCGAGGCAAGCTTAGTCAGAGTGCCAGTGTGGCGTTGTCTTTCCTCCCCCCCCCCCCTTTTGGCTGGCGTCACCAGCTATCAGGGTCCGCTAGCCCCAGTCCTCCGGAAAACCCGGGGGGCCGCCAGGGGAGTAGTAGTTGAAAATGCCACGGGTTCTTGCATTGTAAAATGCAAGTATATCTGCGTGGTCCATCGGGATCATAATTCTTATTGGCATAGGAAGGAATGTTACATTTTTTATTCTTGAAGTTGTTGCGTGGGAAAGGTAGTCGGGTGGGGGGGGTGACGTGAGGTGTTGTGCAATGTTCGATATCGTTCACAACTTCGCACTGCAGGGTCATGCCACATATGTGAGAGTGATTTGTTGATGGACAAAGTACGAGTGAATGCTGAACTTTGGTGTCAGGCAAAGTTGGAGACTTTTTGTGAACTGTCATTTAACCATGGTTGCGATCGGCGTTAACAAAGTCTTTATCCAGCATGGACCGCTGTACGCAGGAAACTTCGTACACGGAAAAAGAATCGAACGGAACAAATTTCTGAACATCTTTTGACGCATGTTTTCGATTCTTTGCATCATGTTTTTTTGTGTGATTGCATCCAAAATGCAGGTTGAAGAATCCCTAAGAGCGGGATATGGTCAAGTTGATGCGATTGTGGATCCAAAGCTTTCAGCGGTTGAGACGCAGCTGCCTCGCCAACAAATGCTCGAAATGGTTTACCTGGCTCAGGCCTGTATGAAGACACCGTCGGCATCGAGGCCACCCATGTCTCAGGTGCTCTCAGCTCTGCTCAATTTTACCGGCTACGGGATGTCCGCAGGTCTGCAAACTGAAATGGATCCGTTAATGCCAATGCCCACGATCGTTGCAGACGGGGAGCCATTTCCTGCTGTAATGCCTAGGTGATTGCGATCATGTCATCATATTACTACCAATGAGTGTTTCCGTTCCTCCGGGACATCCGTAGTGGCACAGGGTCCTTAGCATAAATCAAGAATGACAGAGAAGATTAACATGGCCCCTTAGCAAGGATGACACACATAAATCAAGAAATGGTCCAAAAAAAAAAAAAAAAAAAAAAAAAGGATCCTTTCCGTTGGTCCACTCGATTCTGACTGTAGCCACAGGGTTGTGGTCATGATTCTGCTGTTGCCAGCTGTCTAATGGTCTCCAGAGTTCGTACACATTTACGTTTTTATTACCTTTGTCAGGACTGCTCCTATCAACCTTGCTGGTTCTCTTTCTACCGTTCAAGCTCTTCTAAGGTTGTGGCTGCCACTGTAACAGCTGAGTGTCCTCTTGCTCCTGCTGTTGCTACTGCAGCTCTCACTGTGAAAGCAAAGCCTCGCCCATTGAGTTCTGATGGCTCTGCCTGCTGTTGCTACGGCTGCTTAGGCTCCTTGCTGGATGGACCACCAAGCTTTGGAGTTGCCTCAACTGTTCGTTCGTTTCCTCTGTGTATTTATTTTTGCACCTGAACTTGGAAGAGTGAAACAGTGTATGCAATGTTGCGTATCTGCCCCTACTTCTGCCCCTGCTTCTCTCCACCTTCTCCTTCTGGTTTTCTCGTTGACGCCACTGTCTCTGCTGCGACTGCTGCTGCTTCTACCTGTGCTGCTGCTGCGGCCGGCAGTGATGATGATGATGCTGGTGATGCCGGTGATGCCGGTGATGATGCTGGCTTTTGGACTGGAGCTCGAATTGTCCACGTCTTCCGGAGCTCCACCTAAGTGGTTAATAAATTTTGATTGGGTAAAAATAGATCCCGCATCATCTGCTTTCGAGGGGCAGGTGTGTGGAGGACGGATCAAGGAACGGGGGAAATGACTCGTCGTCAGCGAACTTCAGGAAGCGAAGTGAAGAAAGAGAGAGAGTCAGTGATGACCAAAAATTACCAAAATACAAAGTGCAGCAATTCGGACATCTCCGCGGAATTGCTGGACGTGAAGTGTTGAGGTAATGCGTACCATTCTAGAAACAGTGTGTGAACCATGGTTCCGGAAATGTTCCAACTCTGGCGAGCCTAGCGGAAGGACTCGAACATGCAGAGTTGAGGAAGGTAGGCAAGAGATGCTGGACGTGGAAGTGCAACTCTCAAGCTGCAGAAGCTGCAGACACACAGCAAGGAAGCACATCATCTTCAGGATGAGGTCCAAGTGTTATGCTACCAGCCCTGGGTGAAGAAAGCATCAGTTGAGGTCTGAAGAGCAACAATGGCGCCTACGTTCGGAAACGTGTATGTCACGAAGCCGCTGCTGTACATACATCCGAACCGCAGGCATTTGCTTTTATGCGTGATTTTATAGCACACCTACCGTCTTTTATATAGCATTTATTATTTGAACGATCCGATCGTCTGTTTGAGCTGTGTGGATAGCCACAAGTTCGCAGCGGTGTGCGGTGGATAGCCACAAGTTCGCGGCGGTGTGTGTTGGATAGCCACAAGTTCGCAGCGGTGTGCGGGTGGACGCTGTCGTATTTAGTTGGCCAACTTGGCCATAATATAGGTAGGTGTGAGGTGGAGGGTTCAAACCTTCGTACTGTCGGTCGACGGCAATCTGTGCGAGTGAAGTCGAGGGTTCGAGCCTTCGTAGTTGTTGTCTGTTAGAAACTGTACAATGATTGTTGCCATCCGTGATCGTGAGGAAAGGTAGACTAATTATTATTATATTATATGTCTGTAGGTCGAAGATCGACCGGGGTTGGGGGAGATGCTCATAGCTCTCCCCATAGTACCCCCAGGGCGGTGTTTTTTTTTGTAAAAAAGTAAAATAAATTGACCAGGGGTGGTGAGCGGGAGGGCACGGAGTTCAACCCTGTATGTCATTTGGTATAGTCAATCAACATGGAGAATTCCCTACCGAGTCCCGACCAGGTTGTGTGCAATCATTTCTGTTAGATGGAATTAGATCTGAAATATTATACGATTATCAGGGAATGGCGGGGTTCCCCTAGATAACTAGTGACATGTATGTCATTAATAAATAAATTAAAGAGGGGCGCGATGAGGCCATATTCATACTAGCAATTTGACCGCAAGTGTGACCAGACCTGAATGAATCTGACTGGAATCGCGTCCAGAGTTGAGTCGAAAAAAGCCCTTGCGTGAATTCAAGGATATGATCCATGTTGCCCTGAATGAATCTGACTGAAGTTGCGTCCAGAGTAGAGTCGAAAAAAGCCCTTGTGTGAGTTTAAGGATATGATCCATGAGCGGGGCAACAGATGGGTGTTGATCTTGCCTGAGCTCATAATCACATTAGCACGCACTTTCCTAAATGTATCTGGCTGCACCTACAACCAGACCGGAATGGATCTGACCGCAATCACGTCCAGATTCGAGGCGAAAAGCTCCTAGTGTGAGTGTGCCCTGTTACTTGGGACTCTTTAGCCAAGGCCATCTTATTTGTGGCTCCATCTCTCTTGGTTGAACAGTGTGGTATGCAATTTTATTATTATTATTATTTTATTTTATTTTTTTCCCTCCGACGTCGGTAGACATGTGCTGAAGCCTGAAAGCTATCCTTTTTCAGGTTTGTTTTCCCTTCCCCTTCCTTTTTTGGGAAGAAGCTATGTGCTAGCAGGTCTGATTGGGGCAGATATGGGACCGACTTTTTTCCTCTTTTCCCTGATATTCAAACAAAATCATTAAATATTTACTTATCAGGCACCTTCCAGAAGATTTGCAAAGAAAATCGCGTAATCGGTGAGGCAGAGAGTTGTGCCAATAGTAGGATTTATGACGAGGGAAGATATGTCAGCACGATGTCCTGTTAGCTTTCCGCGTCAATGCCGGAGTTTCAGGGGTGAATATCTCTTAGTCTGTGTTTGAGGCCATTTTCCTGCTGCCCAGAAAATGCCAAGAAGGCCGAGAGTTATTTATGTGATTGTCCGTCGACAGGGAGGGCAACTGCCGCCGCAGGTTGCGGCTAAAAAACGCTGACTGTGAAGATCCGGCAGCGATGGGAGAGCAGCCTTCAAGACGCGCCTTCGGCCCTTCACGGTTTAGCGTTCTGACTCTCAGAGTCACTCAGGGAACAGAACATGTGTGAATCGGTGCTCGTATGGTTTAGGGTTCAGAGTTTGGGCCGGCAAGTTGGCTTGGCTGTGAAACCATGTTATTCTGCGCTAATGGTTTTGGTCTCAAAGGTGGGAGTTGGTCGGATAAACAGAACGCGAGCGATCTGACAAACAGTTATCAGTGGATGCGTGTGTGGAAGCGCTTGGAGCGTGCATTGGAAAGATATCGTGAACACTGAACAGGACATGTGTGAATCTGTGCGCGTATGGTTTAGGGTTTACTGTTTGGGCCGGCCAAATGGCCATGAAATCATGTTACTCTGTGCTTATGGCTTAGGTTTCAGAGTTGGGAGTTGATCGGAGAAACAGAACGCGAGCTATCTGACAAACAATTATCAGTGCATGCTTGTGTGTGGAAGCGCTTGGAGCTGGCATTGGAAAGACATCGCCATGGTGAACACGGAAGAGGCGATGCATGTGAAACACCAATGATACCTTTCTATGGTTTAGGTCTCAAAAGTTGGGGGTGGATTGGAGAAACAGAACGCGAGTGATCTGACAAACAGTTATCAGTGCATGCTTGTGTGT